GGGCTGGGTGTGTCAGAGGCAATGTGATTGGCACAGGCTAGAGCAGGGTTTAGGGCTGTTGTACATAGGGTCGGCTATGAGTCGCAAACGACTTGACGGCACATAACAACAACAGGTGATGACTATTAAGAAATGTACATTTCATCTTAATTGAAAGATCTATAGGACAGAGAAAAAGAGTAAAGAAGAAAGAGAATAATAGATTTAAGTTACAATAGTAGCAAATGTGGTGAGAACAGTACCAAACTTTTGCAACAATTTCCTTTTCTCTCTAGCTTTTTTATTTTCTCAACTGCACAATCTCTTTGGACCTAAGGACGATACAGGTCTGTGGAGTTTCTGTTAATAAACTGTATTTCTTTGTATCCTTCCAGAACCCATAAGTTTAAAAATAATTTCATTCCTGATGATCATGTGCATGGATATCTTGCATTTGTCATCCATGTAGAAGTCTATTAATTTGACAGGTCGGTGGTATAGTTTCATGGGAATATTAACCAATACAAATTGCTATGCTATATGGAATTCTGGTCAAAATAAACACGAGGAGGTGCTTATAAGGAATTAAATGAATTACAGGTAATTTTTTAAAAATGTTGATGAGTTTTACACAACACTAACTTAGAAGACAGAGGAACTAAAGGTAAAGAAGATGGTTTCTTAGTTTTGTTTGTATTTTATACTGGTTTACTAACAAGTTTGTGTACATTTTTAAAGAAAATGGTTTTTAAAGGAATATGAAAACTATTCGGCAGAAACCTACTATCACCTTTGATTTGCTAAGAAAGAAAGATAATTTTGTTTCTCTTCTTTCTCACATTTCTGAGTGTTCTTGAAATGCCCACGAATTAGGTTTTCTCAAACTTGTTTTAAAAAGCAGAATCCAGAGAAACTACTGGGTTGTGTTATGTTGGGGGTTTTTTTCAATTCAGATTTATCTAGTTTGCTGTATTTGCACTGAATCTAGAACTTCAGAACTAGCACATCACAATAACTGATATCCATAGTGGGGCTTTTGTGACTTAGAGAATGAACAGATGTCTACCATACACCACTTAATAAGACAGGCAAGTCTAAAATGCTGTAAATGTACTGTGAAGTATGTAATAAGGTTAAAACTTGAATATAGCATTTAATTTGCTAGTCCTCAATTATACACAAAACATGACACTCTACAAGTAGTCTCTTAGCAAAAGTTCAATGGGAAGTTTAAGTTTTTAGATACTTTGGAAAAGGTAGCTCTCTCTTTTGGATAGAAAAATTCAAAGCTCTTGTATTGCCGATATGTTTGAACACATCTGTTTTGCAGACATAGAAATTCCATTAGGTTATTTTTAAGAAAGGCTGTAGATGAAGTTTCCATTCCTGCCTTAATTTTTTTAATTTCAACAAAAGTTGTCTCAAAACCATCTAAGGCTGAGAAGAAAAATGCCATTACCTTCTCACACGATAGTTATCGGGGGGAGGGGGGAACCCATGTCCCAAGGTCCTCACTGTTACAGAGGAAAAACTTGATAAAGTATAAAAGGACAACAGATTTCAAGCCAATAGAGGAAGAACTTTGTATCATCAAAAGTGGAATAAAGTCAATAATAAAGCAAGATTATCCAATCAGAGGGAACTCAATTTCAGGAATGTTTTAGGAGAAATATTGTAGAAAACTTGGTTCCAATGACTAAACGAAGGTCTAAGTGATAGAAATGTTATTGTTGTGTCCATCGAGTCAGAGCTGACCCAATGCTGACCCTCCAACAGATTTGCAGAGGCAGTAAATCACACATGCGCGGAGATTGCCTGTGTTCCCTTGGAGCAGCTGAACCACGGGCTTTTGGGAGTGCAGTGCAGCTCTTACCTCTAGGCCACCAGAGCTTAATAGAAAAGTAGAAAGTAGTACTACTTTAAAAAAAATTAATTACAGCAACAGGATGACATTTTGTATGACAGTCATAATGAGGTACATAAGTTCTTAAAATTAAAACCAGTTATCATTAAAGAGATCCCAACTCATGATGTGTGTGATAGTAGAACAATAATCCATAGATTGATAAATGACTGATATTTTTTATAACCAAATCATCAGATCTTTCTTCCAAGGTGCCTCTAGATTGTCTTGAACTGCTAACCCTTCAGTTAACACTTAAGCATATTAGCCATTTTTACCATTCAAAGACTGCAATGAATTAGTAGAGTGTTCATATTATTTTGTATATCAATAAATACTATTTCTTTGTATAAATTTGTGCCCTACTCTTTTTCATATCTTATCCATAATTCAGTTTGCAGATATCTTCACAACACAAGTGACTTTTTAGTACCTCTTAACTGATCTTTTTAGGGAGCTCTGGTGCCCTGGTGGGTTAGGAGTTATACTGCTAACTCAAAGGTGGCATCTGGCTGGAGGGTCAAAGCCATCCTGCGAAGGCTCTTCCTGTGTGATTTACAGCCTCCAAAAACCCACTGGAAGATCAGCTTTGAGTTCATTCCTCCTCAATGGCAATTAATTTAAGCTTTTGAACTGATCTTCTTTAATTGTCATATATTTTAAGCTTTACTAATTAATGTACGCAAAGAACAAATTTTAATAATATTTCTCCACTAAAGAATTTAAGTAAGGATGATTACTTAATAATACTGTTGTCGTTAGATGCCATTGAGTCAACTCTTACTCATGAAGACCCTATGAACAATAGATCTGGACATTATATTCCCACAATCTCTGATATGCTCGAAGCCATTGAAGCACTTCCTGCAGAAGAACAAATGCTACACTCTTCACTATAGATTGCATCTCAACATCAAGTACAAAAATTCTCACCATTTGACTAATAGCTAATATATGATAGAGGGAGAAAAGATTGAAGTTGCCAACAATCTTCTTATTTGGATTCACAATCACAATCAACACTCTTGTTACCAGTAGTAAAGCAATCAAAAGGTATGGTGTACTGGGAAAATATGTTGTCAAGGGCCTCTCCAAAGTGCTAAAGAGTAAGAAGAGAACTATTTAAAAGGAATAGAAAATTAGGCATTATTTTCATGACAAGATTACAGAAAAAGAAATGCATGTTAGAGTGGACTGTGGACTGGGAGGGATTGTATAACAATGAAAAAAATTTTTTTATACAAAGAGAAAAACGAACTGGAGGGCAGATTGTGCAGGGAGGAAAGTGTGCAACAATTAATGAATGGGGAAAAATTAAAAATTAAGTAGAAAAAATATGGTGTCAAAATATTATATATGTTGCATTTAAAAATTCATTGATAAAGAAACCATTTAATTAAGAAAAATAGTGTCATTTAAAGACAAAGACATACCTGTTCCAAGCCACAGTCTTTTAAATTACTTGCTATATATCTAAAAGTTGGACAATTATTAAGGATGACGGAAGAAGAATTGATGTCTTTGAGTTGTGGTGTTGGAGAAGAATACTGAATATCTCATGGACTGCCAAAAAAATAAAGAAGCTTGATGTGGAGGAAGTACAGACAAGGCACGTCTTAGAGCCAACAATGGTTAAAACTTTGTCTCCAGACTTGAGGCTTCTTATCAGGAGTAGTCATTTATTGGAAAGAAACATCACCCTGGTAAAGGTGGGCGGTGAGAGAAAGTGAAGAAGACCCCTCGACAAACTGACTGATACAGTGATTGTAGCAATGGACTCGAGCTCTCCAAAGATAATGAGAATGATACAGGGTAGTGCAGGGCTCAGTTCTGTTATTTATAGGGTGGTTAGGAGTTGCAGGTAACTCAGTGACACCTAACAAGTATTAAAAGTAAGACCAACATGACCTCATATATTATAGATAATGAATGCCATTACAACTATGTTTCTAAAACAGCAAACCTGTTAAACCACCAGCCGGATTTGTCCTCTTCTGCACAATTCCCTTCATAGTTGTCATTATCTTTGTCCCATGTGCTGAACTTCATTCTTTGGTGACTAGCCCACCACTGAACTTCAGGGCTAAACTGTCCTGCAAGGGAGTCTCCAGCTGTCCCAGAGTAGCCCCCAATGCTCAATTCATAGGAGTTCTAAAGGAAAAAGGACAAATACTATGATCATTAATCAATAGTTCAGAAATACAATCATTATGCAATTATTATTAATTAAACAAGTTCTATTGTCTATTTTTGTACCCACTGATTTAATTGTTATAGTGTAGTTTTTTAAAGCGTTACTTCCTGAACCCAGTGCCAGTGACAAAAAGGAAATACAACTGACAGCTAAGGAAGCAAACGAGGATGAGGATGGAGCCTCTGGGTTCAACCAGCCATCCCCACTGGACCCACCTGGGAAAACACTTTGCAGTCCAGAGGGGAGCAAATGACAGGAAAATATCTTCTAACAGAGCAAGAAGGCAAGCAGCTTTAACCCAAGACCACCAGTAAGGTGATAAAGCATCCTCCCTTCCCCCTTTACATCTACGCCCCTGTTCAGCATGAAGAAGCCAGAGAGTCAGCATCCAATTCCCATATCAATAAGACAGTTGGTTTAATTACCATTGGAAAATGCTTGTCATTCCTCTGTAGGATCTGGTCCCCTCTGGACCTTCATTATTTCCTTCACCTGCTCCCCCCACCGACCAAACTGTGCAGCTCTGCAACTGCATCCTGGCCCATCCTCACCCTTCTGCCCCCAACCCTCACCTGCTTGTACCCCCAATATGTTTTAAAAAAAAAAAAACCAAAAAAAAGTTACTTCATGGTGTTAATTCTTTCACAATTTCTAATACCTTTTCATCTGCCACTTTGAAATGTGTATATTTTGCATATCTGCTATTTTTCTCAAAATCAGCAAGGTCAACTTTTAAAGTGTATTCTCCTGTAAAAACAAACAAAAAACTATTGTCATTTCCTTTCATGCATGAATTATGTTTAACTACTGAGACTTAAAAATAATCCACAGATTTATGTTACGTTGACAACAGTCTTCTGCCAAGAGTCAGTTTTCAAAGAATACATAATAACTCTATTGTTTTAAGAGGATAAACACCATATTGTGTGTTTTCCTTGGGCAAAAAAAACCCTAACAATATAATTTTAAAAGTAGAAAATTTCCTTAGCATTGTCTATATTTGGCATTTTACTATTATTAGGTTAAGAAAAAAAGCACTGGTGGCATAGTGAGTTAAGTGTTAGGTTGCTAACTGAAAGGTCAACAGTTCAAATCTACTAGCCACTCCACACAGGGAGCTGAAACACGCTGCTGCTGGTTAAGATGTAGTGCCTTTAAAACCTGATGGAGGACTGTCAGGAATTGGAATTGACTCAAAAACTAACAGTGGGTTTGAGATTTTTGTTGTCAGTTGCTGTCGACTCAACTTTGACTTCCAGTGACCCTCTGAACCTTGCCCAGTCCTGTGTCTTCCTTACAATCTCTGTCATCCCATTGTAATAGTCACTGTGTCAGCCTATCTTGTTGTGGAGTTATTATCACAGGTAATAACTGACTCACACAGACTCCTTGTATTGCGAAGTAGAACTGCTCTGTAAGATTTTCCAGCCTGTCATTTCTATGGAAGGAGTCTTGGTGATGCGATGCTTAAGCACTTTACTGTTTACCAGAAGATTGGTGATTTGAACCCTCTCAGAGGCTCTGAAAAGAAAGACCTGGCTGCTCTAATCCCATAAAGATGAGAAATTAGAAAAACCTATGGGGTAAGAAAAAAAACCAACCCCCCCCCCAAAATAAAACCCCAAGGGGCATGTCCAGTCTGTTGCACAAGGTCACTGATTTGAACATTGGCTCAATAGTGCCTAACAACAGTCATCTTTTTTTCTGAGATGTTACTGAATAGGTTCAAACTTCTGAGCTTCGCTCCATTCAGGGTCCCTCATACATAACTCACCCACTGTCATTTCTTTGATTCCAACTCATAGCTCCCCTCCATCAAGTTTCTGTGGCTCTAAGTCTTTATGAGAGGATACTACACTACACATCTTTCTCCCAAAGAGCACCTGGCAGGTTCCAATTGTTAAATGTTTCCATCAATGCATTACCCAAAAAAAGCTAGTCCAATTCACTTTTTAGATAAAAAGAAGCAAATGATTATAGTAAATTCTCATTTAGTTAACAGATTAAGAATTCTAGTAATGAAAGAAGTGTATCTTCTCTTTCTTACTTTTATGAATAGTAACAACAATTCAACTCATTGCTGTTAAGTCAGAACTGACTCACAGTTAGTTGTCCCTCTTGTGGGGTTTCAGAAGCTGTAAATCTCATGGAAGGAGATTGCTCATCTTTCTTCTGAAGAGCAGCTTGTGGATTCAAACAATTTACCTTTAAGTTGGCAGCTCAATTCATACCTACAAAGCCATTATAGTTACTATACTTTTAAGACTTCAATTTAATTCATTACGATTTGGTTGAAACTGACTCACATCTCCAGTGAGTTTTCAGAGGCTATAATTACACAGAAGGAAATTGCCCATCTTTCTCTCCTGACGTGCCTGGTGGACTTGAACTGCCTACCTTTGGGTTGCCGGTGCAACCCCTGAATAGAATAATCTTAAAAATATGATTAAAAAAAGCTACAATTCTCAAATAATTATTTTCTTTTATTATCTCACAGATTAAAAAGAGAAAGTTTTTCCCTTTTCAGAAACACAACTATGGCCAGCATATAGAGAGTTTTCAATCAAAGTAATAGTTAGATGGTATATGTTCTATACTTCTACTCTGATAAATAAAATTCCACAATGACAAGCCAGGCTAGTTTGAATTTGGATTTTCAAAATCCCCAGTCAGAATATGGAGTCCTCAGGAAAGTGGGTCCCTAAACCCCACCATCCAGGCCCAGTCTCTCATCTGACTCCACTTTCTTCCCCTATCATTGTCTCCATCCAGAAGTAGAATGGAGAAGGGTCCTTGTACTCATCTGTCAACATCCCAGACTGCATCTTCAAGCTCAGTCTACACCCAGAGAGTAGGAGGAAGAAGAAGCTGTTCCTTAGCCTCCACTCAAGCTTAGAAATACTCTGACCCCAGCTCATTATTCCAGAATGAGGACAGAGAAAGAAGAAGCTTGAGCATGTACAAAACAGAAGTTCAAAGCTGTTTGGATTCTGGATTCCCTATTACTGAGAGGCTTAAGAAGACTTAGTGGCACAGTTGCTAATCGCTTAGCTGAAAATAGATAGATCCATAGTTTGAAACTCATCAACTGCTCAACAGGAGAAAAGACCTGTCAGTCTGCTCCCAATCCTTTGAGGCAGCTCTACGCTGTGGAGTCACTGTGAGTCAGAATTGACTGCAGAATTTGGAAAGAGGCCTGGGAGAGACGTGTATGCTCCTGTTGTTCTTTGACCTTGGCTCTGCAGACTTCTTTAAAGTGGGGATTCCAGGAAGATATTCCTCCACGTCGGCTCAGAGGACGGTAAAGATCATGTTGACAAAGACTGCAGAGTAGGTAGGAGCAGCAGGGCAAGCTAAGACCATTCTCCTAACCTATATTTCCTCTTAGAAAAGAGTTCTAAAGTTAATCTCAGATTTTAGGTAACCTCCTAAATATCTCTTTGATCAACTAATAAAAATATTTACAATTACAGATTATTTCTAATCTAGGTATACTCCAAGCACCTCTAAAAAATTTTTGTCATGAGAATAAAGTGGTTTTTAAAGGCATGTCCATATGTTTAAGTGCTTTCATGGGACAAAAGAGTTATTTTTTCCCTGAATTGATGTAATACACCACTGTGAGTCCTGGAACTGAAGAATTACTTAATAGCATAGCAATGTTGTTGTTGTGTACCATAGCATCAGAACCAACCCATTGCTGACTATCCTGTGGGTTTTCAGAGGCAGTAAATTGTATGGAAAGAGATTGCCTCTCTTTCTCCCATGAAGCAGCTAATGGATTTGAACTATGTACCTTTGTGCTGGCAACACAGTTTCTTACCACTAAGCCACTAGAACTCCAGCAGGGCTATAGCCAGCCTGAATGACAAATGAAAACATGAAAGGAAACAGATTTTTTTTTTAACAAAGTCCATCTGGCAGAATAAGCACCTGGTAAAAATTTGAAAAAATAATTGAGTTTGGATTCTGTATTTTTAGAAGTCAAGGTTTGCTGTTTGCATGTTGTATAGCTTCACAAAAAAACTAGATAAATATTAATGTACACAAGAAACAGAAGCTGCTATTATAATCTTATCTATCATATAACATTTAAGATTGCTGGTTGTTGTTATGTGCCATTTAGTTGCCTGCGACTCATAGAGACCTTGTAAAATAGCTCTGAAGCCTGACCTATCTTGAGCCAGTCTCACTGACTCTGACACACATACTCCTATTACCCCAGTTATTGTGTCAAACCTTTTCATCCAGGGTCTTCCTCTCCTGCGCTGTCTCTCTACCCTTCCAAACATGATGTCCTTTTCCAGGAACTGATCCTTCCTGGCCACATGTCTGAAGTATGAGTAACAGAGTTTCAAAATCCTTGCTTCCAAGGAGAAACTTGGTTTCACTCTCTCAAATACAGACCTGTTTGTTCTCCATTGAATGTTTAATACTCTTCTTCACCACCACAACACAAAGGCATCAATTCTTCTATCATCCTTATTCATTGTCCAGCTCTCTGATGCACAAGTAATTGCAAAGACCATGGCCTAGATCAGGCACACTTTAGTCTCTAGGTTGACATCATTGCTCTTTAGCACTTTGGAGAGGTCTCTGACTTTTGATTTCCTGACTGTTGGTTCCAAGAGTATTGATTGTGGAGCCCAGCAAGATGAAATTGTGAGTAACCTCAATCTCCTTTCTATCTATTATAGTGCTGCTAATTGGTCCAGTGGTGAGATTTTTTTTTCTTTAATTATAATGATAAATATCTTGGAGGAAAGGAAATCTGATTCAAATAGAGAGGATTTATCTCAACAAGGGCAAATGAATAAGATATCTGGCTTCTAAGGTTATGTATTCTCACTAGGTACTAGTCAAGTGTCTCCAAAAGGTCCTACAATTATAGACCTATTGATTATTAAGAATAGAAAAAATTAATAGTTTTCCTGAAGTTATGTCTTGCTCTTAAGCATAACTGCATTGTCAGTGTGATGTAACATGCTTTCAGGGACATTATAATTGTTTTTTACAAAGTATGCAAAATAAAACCCAAGCAGGAGTAACTGCAGAGAAAACTGGAAAGAAATGTTATATTATGTTAATGAGATCATACCATCTTAGGGTGGATTCTAAATCAGATTCTAATTCTAAATTAATTCTCAATTCTAATTCTAAATTGTTTTTTTTAATGGTGCCAATTTTAAATACATCTTTATTTGAGACATTGCATTTTCCACTTACAATACAGTGATAATAAAGTGCAATGCTAATTCCTTTCCCTATACACATTCCATATTCAAGTATTGAGAATGCCCAGAAATTTAGTCTAGCAGTTTAGACTTTT